CGGCTTTGAACTTCAGTAGTACTCGCGACATTTAATATTTATGTTAAATTTCGATTTCTAGCAGCATTGTGGGTGACAGGAAACAGTTAGGCTCATCGACCCAAGCTGTAATCCACAACAATTGCCTCCCAAATGTCTCGCCCTGCCCTGGTATCGAACCTGGAACCGTCAGTTGAGAAACGAATGCCTGAACAGGATATTAGACCTTAGCACGAGAAGCAATTTATACACAAATTCAATAATCATCGTGTGACTACAATTCAATATCCACCGTTTGACGCCAGAAGCTTCAAAACTGAAGCGTTTGCTCACCAGTCTATCGGGTCGGAAAAGTCTAATTAATCTGGATGTTATAGGTGGAACTGACCTTGACTTTTGCCGGCCCCGTTAGACACGAAGGGTACGGACCGGGGTCTGTAAACATTGGAAAAAGAAGTCTCACCGATTGTACATATTTCGGACACCCTACAATTCTTTTACGAACATATTAGTTATTAAACCCTATCAACACATTTGTAAAAAAAAACAAAGGCAAGGATATGTATTGTCTTAGTATGAAGTAAACAATTGGAGTATTAAAAAAATGGACAAGTGCAGTCTTCCTAGGGATCAACAAGTTGAAGTTCAAGTATGTTTATTGAGACAAGAAAAAATACATCTCAAAGGGATAGAGTAGCTTAGGTTATTTCTACCCCTCCACAGGGGGGTAGAAATAGCCTAAGCTACTCTATCCCTTTGAGATGTATTTCTTTCTTGTCTCAATAAGCATACTTGAACTTGAACCCCCTCCACAGATCGACAAGTGTAGTCTTCCTAGGAGTGGACAACAGTAATCTTTCTAGGGTTAGACAATTGCAGTCTTCCTAAAAATGAACGAGTATAGTTTTCCCATGAATGGAACTAGAGCATTTCTGGGGGGTTTAGACACAAGAGAGTAAGCAAGTAAACATATTTGGATACATACAATAACACAAATCTGTACACCAGTTGACTGACAGTTGAGAGGCGGGACCAAAGAGCCAGAGTACAAGCAGAGTACAAGCTCCTGCAGTACAAGCAGGAGCAAGCCAATGTCAGCACTGTGGAGAAATGACCGACAGACCACTGGAACATAAATACAGTGCACACGCAGTATGAACCAAAGAAGATTTCAACTAAGATTCAACAGAGCAAAAGTTGTTTAACATATTGGACATAATCTTACCGAAGCGAACATACGAGTCATAAATACTCATACTCCGCCTAAGACATAAACGAGGAAACAAGTAACACAATGGGCCAGCCAAAAGCTTAGGGCCCCTGCAAATAAAAAAAAATAGCAAACTCAAACATTATATAATAACATAACATTATTAAGTACAAAATTCGACGTCTTATATCTACCGAATTACAGGTTATAACGAAGACAGTTGAAGTGGCCCAGGCAATACTATTCTGATCCTTTCCTCCGTCTTCCCCTCCTGATGGAGTGATAGCTTTGTTGACGAGCCCTCCCTCCCTCCTCCAACACCTTCGCACTCACCACCACTTCTCTTTCTCTCTCTCTCTCTCTCTCCTGCCTTGTCTAACTACTTAATATTTTTCCCTTTTCCCTACCTCTTAATTGTATATCCAACCTCCTCAACCCGTCTTTCCCTCTTCTTCACAACCATAGAGCCACCTACCTTATCCAGTCTGCCCCCCCCCCCCCCACCTTTCCATGTCAATGACAAGTTGGTGGGATCAGACCGGGACCCGGTAGGCCTACACTGCGACCGGATGTCAGTAGATGCAGACTGGTGGTGTCGGCGCGGTACTGGTGAGATGCCAGGTGTCATTCAAATCTGTCTGGTTCCTCCCCGCCACAAGAGTCCCGGCTGACACTCAAAATACCGTGAAATTGTAGAGAGAAAAGAGAAAGAAATCAGGATGTGTGCCTTGATCCAATCTTCCGAGGACTGTGAGGGTTGTAAGCCGGGTCCAGATATATATTATATTATATATATATATATATATTAGCATTTTGAACCATATTCTCCGTGACACTAGATAGCAAAAATGAGCCGACTGAATACCGTTGCACTCAGTGAATTGCAGTCAGGAAAGCAAATCTCATATGAATAAACGCATATATACACTTGTCCGATGTGAGACATGTAGATTCCCATCGAAAATGTATGCATTATGTTACAGTCCGAATATCGACGCCAATTTACTTCGAAATTGAGGCGACGTTGTGGCCTCAAATGGAAACAATTGTGTAACTAGCCTCAAAAAGATTGTCACTTGCTTAGCTACATGAACTATGGGGTTCTGTTCCTGAACCCCTTACATGCCTCTAACCCTTTCCACCACCGCCCAAGGGATGGGAGGATAATAAAGAAAGAAACTGAATTGGAAGTGACCAGCCGTGTCTAGTCGTGCTTAGTGTCAGCGGTAAACACGGAGCCGTGCCGGGGGTTCTAGCGGACAACGCCCTCAAATCATCATAATGACGGAACTCTCTTTTATCATCTAGGTCATTCTCAGAGCTCAAACCATTAATTCATATCTGATGCTGTAGGAATTCAAATGCGGTGCACTTTGACATCCAGTGCAGTGCGCGCATGGCGCTATACTAAAGATACTCATTCTTAGGATTCTAGTAAAAGGTATAAATCTAGAGATATCCACATTCCAACCAATTTAGATGAACGATATAAATTGGCCAATATCCAGTAAAATTACCGCTAATAAACTGCAGTTCCCAAGATAAAGTGGTCTTGTCATCCGTATTGAATTTCAAGTCTCACATGGCTGACGTGCCATCACATGTGTTCATTGTCTGACAGCAATTACTGCACCAGAATTCCCCTCCACAAAACGGTTTAAAGCATCAAAGACAACAATGAACTCCTTATAGCGTTGTGAAATTGAAGTCCAGATTTCCTCTTTAAGCGAATAATTGAGAAAAAAAAGTTACGGCTCACGGGAGTCGAAAATAACGTTGTGTTATTACTAAGATGAAACAAAATTACACGATAGCCTATGGCAAAGAAAATTGGAATTGAATTTTTGTATTTTGGCCTTAGGCCAAGCGCTGGTAATGTCAAATAACCACTGCTTTATGTTGCTAGGCTTAACCAGCTTTAGTAATTGTTTGAGATTGAGATTCCCCTTCCCCCCCCCCCCACACAAACAGATACATTTCTAGAATACAGAGGTTTCTTGTAGGAAAGTTAATACTTTATCCTTACCAAAGCATTTTTTCTAACATTATTTAATACAATATGCTGTATCCTCAAGGGGGACCTGTCATGCTTGAAGGGTAAGGTCCATACAAAAGTCTTGGCTGTGAAGTAATTGTTTTTACAGCAGAGAGGTTGGCAGGAAGAAAATGGGAAGATCCTGCAATATATTTATTTTCATTTGTTGTTGGTGGCTTGGTGCCATTGTTGTTACAATGTGTAAGGGGTTATGGTATAGTCTTAAATGTAGGAATCCAAAAGCTTTCCTGGTGCACGGTATGCTGTTTGATGGCATATCAAGCTTCTCAGTTGGGATTTTCATTTTCCAGATCTCTATACAATCCTTAATATATATAGACACGTCTGGATTAAATGATGGGGTAAAAAGGTTGATAACATTTACTCGGGGGGGGGGGGTTAATATTGGTTATCATGAATTTACCAGTACATATATAGTGGATAATAAAATTAGTAGCATTATCAAAAGAAAAAACGGAGGAATGAAAAAAATGAGTTGCCGTGAATAAATAACAGTATATGACCTATTGAAATACAGGTAATAAATACAGTGAGAGTAATATTTATGGGGAGGGATAATACAAATAACCAAGACACAAAACATTAGGTCGGATTGACCTAACGGATTGATTGACTTCAGGATGGTTGGTTGAGTTGATAGGCATTTAGGCATAGCAAAATCTACTTTGAACATATACAAAATAAATTAATGAGGGCTGAGTTAAGACTAACTTAATCTTAGATAAAACTAACTTAAACTGTAATACATCAGTCAAAATATTAGAAACACTGACAAACTGGAAAGGTATAATTAAACTTCCAAATGTGAATAGAGGGACTAATACTGGTTAAAACTGGCAATTGACTGTGAAAGGATTACTTATATTACTAAGAAATACTGCAAGGGATAAGGCTCACTAAAATAATAGAGCAGCTGAAGCCCTTACTTATACAAGGCTTAGAAATTACTATGCAAGACTGGCCTAAATTATTGTGTAATACTTAGTGGAAATGGCTTATTTAAATTACTAGGAACTGAACTGAACTTCAACAACATGCATTGTTTCAAATAAATGGCATAAATGTTTCCATATTACATGAAATTAAGAAACACTGCAAGAATAAGCTCTCAAATTACTAAGACAGAAGAACGGATACTCCCATATGAGAAAATCATTTTGGGACAATGAGGTTACTTGACCTGGCATACTGGTGATTACCAGACACCTGCCTTAACCCACTAAGCCACGATAGGACAAAAGCCAATCAACCTGAAACTCTACTGAATTCACTGGAAGGTCGTCCTATCATGGTTGAGTGGGTTAAAGCAGCTGTCTAGTAATCACCAGAATGCCAGTTCAAGTCACCTCATTGGCCCAAAATTATTTTTGTCATATATCATGTCACTGTGATTTCTTTATGATCATATACCCTTGTGTTTACTTCATGATTATTCAAGCAAACTTGCCCACCTTCCTTCAAGTAATCATCAAATGAAGTCACTATGTCTGAAGATATTTAGCACCATGTGCCACAAAAATAACAAATTCAGTGAAAACACTATGGTTGTCCAGAGATTACATTATGGCTGTCAATATCACCTCGTCCTTGTAGGTCTAGTTTATGACCAGATCTTCTGGATGACATTGTGGTCAGTCAAGTTGTTGGGTGTGAGCAAATCTCAGTCCAACACAAGAACTGCAACTCCATCTTCCCTTCCCCCCCCCATCACTGAAGGTGGTCTCAAATAACTTAAATGACAAGAACAAGTCTAACGATTATTCTCTTGTATTTGATTGGACAGTAATCAACAGTTTCATATGTCCTTGATGTTAACAACTAAATTTAAAACAATAATGTGTTATCAGAATTCAGACTCTGTATTTCCTCAAAATAAAGAAATATGTGTTCACTTACAAAGCAAGTTCACACACATATGCAAAGTGTAAGTAGTTATGCAGAAACCATTGTCATCTCAAATGTGCTGTGAACAAAAATTATGAATTTTAAAATAAATGTTACAATTTTTTTAAACACATTTATAAAGCAATGCTAATGATAATTTCCATAAGAAATTACAACTTGAGCATACCTATATGTAGAATTCTGACAAAACTTGCACAACTTATTAATCAGCCTTCTAAATTTGATTATCAATAAAAATATGGCATCTTTTTGAAGAATCTGAAATCTCCTAAATTATTAGTTTACTTAAAATAAACCTCAGCACATCATGTCTCCCTCAAAGCAACATGATATACTACCCAATAAGAAATATGCCAAATCAGATTTATTTCAGCTTATAGTATGAGTTCTCTTATCAGTAAAAATGAATCAAATCAAAAACAAACTCAGATGGAAATAATATTGCACAATAAATATTTGTTTAAGATATATCCTTATACTATATGGTCTATTACATGCACCATTCATAACGAAATAGGTTGAGTGTGCAGAGCCTCAAAAGAATCAACACCACCTTTCCATCCACATCCACACACCATCAACTGCTGCTGCACAGCAAATGGAAGAAAATGATCTGAACTACTTCCTAGCATCAAAGGAGGCGGAGCCTGTGTGGTATGGGTGGAGCTTGAAGTGCATAGGGGCGGGAAGGGGTTGGGTTTATTCTCATAAAAAACTTGGAAGGGGGAGGATCATAGAGGGGTAGGAGGGAAAATGAGAGGGGGAGGAGCTTAGACTGGCTAAAATCCTGAAATGAAAAAAAGAACAGGAAGAAAATATTGAGAATGAAGGCAGTGCAGAGGTTAGAATGTGTTCAAGAATGCAGTAGATTGTGACAACTAAAAATATGTTGAAAACTAACAAAAAAATTCAATAGGGTAAAAGAGACTGATGGAGATGACAAAAATTTAAAAATTTTACTTTTTACACAGTAAAATAACAATTTAATAATACAACTTAAAATACTATGTACATCTATAGGAAAAAGCAAACTTCAAAATACTTTATAATCTCTTGAATATTTTTTAGATTAATAACAAAATTTGGTTCTGATCATAGACCAAAATAACCCACCTTGTCCCCCAAAACATCCTGTAAGATGGCTCTATACAACACAGTTAAAGATCCATGGGCAGCTAGGGGGTAGCTAGTTCATGGTGCAGCTGTACATTTTTTGTGCGTGTGTTTGTGTGTGGAAAAGGGGGACAGGATAAGGGGAGGGGGGTAAGAAGTGGGGCCCAGGGCTTTGTTATGAGGCTAACCACAACTCTTGAAACAAAATAGAATTAGGTAGGTCTGTAGGGGAGGCTGGTCTGAGGATACTGTGGGTACGTATTTCAAATCATTTGATGTAACATTTTACTCCAGAAAAATAGGCAAGTATGGAAAATCTTTTTATTCATTGATTTGTAACTAAATCTACATAGCAAGCTCTTACACAAATGTTGTGTTTAACTATTAAATTAGGCACTCTTCTTTAGAAGGCTGATGGTACTATAGGCATTATTATTAGTTCAGTATATTGCAGTAAATTCCTCTAATATATAAATATATCAAAGTTGTGAAAAAATAAATTGGCTTTCTTTCTATATGGCTTAATTTCTCAGCAATATATGGTTGCCTTTATAGTAAAAAAAAAAAAGTCTAATAATGTTACTTAGAGGCCATTTTTATGGAGGTAATTGTATGTGCGTATGTCATTAGTATCATTCAGCAATTTTATGTACCCACAGTACCTATATTATATACATACTGTATATTCACTGGGTGGTTCATTATATTCTTTGGTAGTAGCATGGTATATTCAAACTTCACCACATTAATTGTTAGACAAAACATGAGGACCCTTCACAAGCCACAGGATACCTGAATCTATCAGAGCCACTCATGTCCTTTGCTATTACAGGTACAGTAGTTACAGTATATACATGAAAACTAACACATGCATACAGTAACATGTTGGTACTGTATTCACAAACACACAAACCTATACATATGCATTACAGGTAGGTAATCAGTAATCCACACTAACAAACTCACGCGTTAAATGTTTTTGTAAAGTTTTAACTATGGTGTGTAGCATTTCTTAACAGTAAATATTATACAAAAATATATTGCTGTAACCTTAATCAATAAATAAATAAATAAATTAACCCAGCCCATGCATATGAAATTAATTTAAAGTGACATACAGTAGCAGAAAATAGATATTTTAATATTTTCTGCTTTAAACATTATGTAGAAAACTTTCTTGATACACTGAATCAGCAGCATGATACATACTGGTATACTGATTATTACACACAATAAAATGCAGTGGTAAGCATAACACAATTTGTGTATTTGGAACCAGTGTAAGTCATCTAATAAACTTACCTTTTGTCTGATCATTGCTTTACCAGAATTTTGCAGTCACACTAAGTCCTATAAAAATCTTCACTGCCAAGATCTAAAGACACTTACAGGAAACAAATATAAATTGCACTGAACACTTTACAGAGGTCAATTAAATATCAATAAGCATTCTAATGATAAATCTTGATACTGTACAGTACTTACAATGTGTTACATGGAAAAATTTCTAACATCAAATTTACTTTACAAAATTCATAACTACATTAAAATACTACAAAAACCCATACATTACCCATTTACAGAAACTGACAAACTCATTACAGTACAGTACTGTATTAGAATCTACGCAGAGAGACATTAAAACCTCACTCGTTAAAATTGTATCAAATAATACTTCACATATAAATCATGTCCTATGCATTTAACTAGATATTCTAATCAATATAATGAGACAACACATTGAAAGACAATTACACAATGAACCCTTGCAGCTGAATTAAAATATAATTACTATTACTGATACAGTACTGTATATATATTTGGCCAAGTTTAATAGCAGGATGATAATGGCAAAATACAGAACTCTTTTTATTGCTGCTGTATTTATATACCGGTAATTGTATAGCTTTCAAGAGTGCTTGGAAGTGAATTGGCAAATATTAGGGTAAGTGTGGGAAATCTTCACGTTTCCTTAAAAAATAAATTCTCAGCATATTCACTACATGCATGTATGCATGCGCGCGTGCGTGTGTGTGTGTGTATATATGTTACTTACTGTAACTACTGCCATTAGTATTATTTACCATTTTTGTTATATGAAGTCTGATTTGTTATCAAGTAGAGGGTATGCTTGTTCAACCACCCACTGTGTTTAAGGAACATGCAATTTGCAGGCATTACTACTGCAATATCAAGTTGAAACCAATCAATCATTCTTTTAAAATATGAATCAAGAACCTCCTGTCTACAACAAACTCAAATGCTTCCACAGGAAGTAAATTGCTGTAAATATCTTTCTACAACTCTTTCTCACTGTACCTCCCAAGCACTGTACATCCCAAGAACTGTACCTTTACAGTGCTCTCACTGAGAAAACACCATAACTGTGCTAACTTAAGGCCTCCATGAAGAAAAATACTGTATTTTTATAAAGGCCAAATGAAATGCAATAATGGATTATACTGTACTGTATATACATACACATTATATAAAATCTATTTATAATAATTACTAAGGTAAAAAAGCCTTCACCAATAAAAGTTCATTAGCATTAACAAAATAAAAAATCCCCAAATAAGACAAATTTCATCTCCAATTTTTCAGTAGTGAAATGAGCAAGATTTTCCCCAGGTGTGCAGCAGCCTTTCTGGGAAAATGGTCACAAACCTTATTCCTGACACAATACAAAGTTCCCCCAAGGATCTTTTTTATATATACTTTTTAATGTTAAGCTCCCCTAGTCTCTTACCACACTTCTCGTGAGTAAGCTGAGTAGACTCCATCCTCTTTATCACACTTCTAACAATGTGATTTAACACACTAACCTTTTATATTAAACTAAATATTTTATGGCTATTTCAAGTAATACTAATGTACAAAAATATGCATGCCATTTTTTGTTTTGTAATCTTCATTGAGGTGGCCAAATTTAATATATTTAGTACAATCCCTCCCAGGGTCATCCAAATATGTTGACTCTCACAGCAGTTATGTTTATATTACAAATATCTATCCAGTCTTAAATCCTAAGAGAAGTGCCTCTAATAAACTTATCTATTCTAATACAATCTATTCCCACGAGAAAGGAGTAATTTGAAATCACATCAACACACATTAAAGTCATCTGATACATCAATCTCACAAGTCACTCGCCAGCACAACCGTGTCTTGGGTTACCTGACTTTGGAGTACAGATTGTGACATCCGAGGACCATATCCACCCCCCTTCCCCCTCCCCCTTCACTAGTGAGTGTTCCATGACACAAGGGTTACCATCCTATCTTTCCATCCTCTCATCTTGCTCCTTACCCCACCACAAGGTTTTACCCTTATCTTGGCCCATGGAAGTCTTTTCTATTGAACCCATTATTAAGTGAAGTTGTATACTTTTTTAATTGATGCCTTCCCCCATTAATCTTCAAATAAATAAATCTACCTTTTTAAAAATAGTTTAGAAAAAGATTCTTAAGCTCTCACTCTTAGCTATTTTTGTGAATAATAGGATGTGAATAATCCAAAGCAGCAGTTTCTAATTTGAGACTGCCATATCACAATGTACTTGCATCTGGCTTTATATTCAACCTACAATATCTAAATAATTACTTTAGCTAAGACTATCACTGTACTCTTTAGTCTTACCTAACTTGATGTTACTGTAAACTTACTCTCTAGACCTTACAAATTATTTTGATCTTGATCAATAACCCTCAAACTCAATTCAATAATACCTCATAACTCCTTCACTTCAACTTTAGCCATAGAGAAATTCTACATTATTATAATTCAATTTACCTTAACTATTACAATTTGCTACTATACAAATTAATTACTTATAATTAATGCCCACACACTGGTCCTTGCCTTAGTGACGGCAGTCTTCTTCCTGGGTACCTGAGTCTGGCCTGGGCTCCAATGGGTTGGGTACAGTCCATTCATCCCCCTGGAAGCAGAGGGTAGGGTGAGAGATTACATAAAAAAAAAAAGCCAGGCTGGGCATCACATGACATAAAAAAGCTGCCAGCAATCATTCAAAGAGCTGACAGCACGTGCTGAACCCTTTTCACAGGGGTTGGCCTCAATAGTCCCTCCCCTATTTGGATGGTGGAGGCAAAGGGGTGCTGACCAAAGGATTATGGTCACCCCAATTTTTTTTATCCCTTTTTTTTTATATGTGGACCAATTTTTTCATAATAAAGGGGTATGTGCCAACAAGTTCGTAGGTGGGGTGCGCGTGGCTGGTTTTGTCATGGGGTTCGAGATCGATCGACGCAGAATGCCAAAATGGGCTGCGTGCGCCAGACACAAGCTGTAGCTCGCTGAGTGTGGATCCCAGCGACTAGTCGAGTCCCGCTGCTCAAGTTATCAGGAGGTGGTGCAACCTACTCTTCACAGAGTGGATAATAGTGTGTGAAGTGATTACCGTACTAGAACAAAATTTTTTTACAAAGTGCTATATTTTACAATAAGCCATTAATTAAAATTTTTGAAAGCGGGGAATATTCTATATATTATACAGTACTAAACATATTCAAGTAATTCGCAATTCACTAGAAATACTAAATGGCAATTATTTTATATCTTATCAATTACTGTATGACATAAATGAGCAGGTGCATCTGGCAATGTTATCAATATGTGCACTATTAAGAAGTGTGGAACAAGTGGAGCTAATTAAGTTGTATATATACCAGTGGTGTCATGGCAATTGTGAATACACCAGTGCTGTTGTTGCAAGTGCATGTACACCAGTGGTGGTGTAGCAGGTGCATGTACACCAGTGGTGGTGTAGTAGGTGCATGTACACCAGTGGTGGTGTAGCAGGTGCATGTACACCAGTGGTGGTGTAGCAGGTGCATGTACACCAGTGGTGGTGTAGCAGGTGCATGTACACCAGTGGTGGTGTATCAGATGCATGTACACCAGTGGTGGTGTACCAGGTGCATGTACACCAGTGGTGCTGTAGCAGATACATGTACACCAGTGGTGCTGTAGCAGGTGCATGTACACCAGTGGTGGTGTAGCAGGTGCATGTACACTAGTGGTGCTTTATCAGATACATGTACACCAGTGGTGGTGTAGCAGGTGCATGTACACCAGTGGTGGTGTAGCAGGTGCATGTACACCAGTGGTGGTGTAGCAGGTGCATGTACACCAGTGGTGGTGTAGCAGGTGCATGTACACCAGTGGTGCTGTAGCAGGTGCATGTACACCAGTGGTGGTGTAGCAGGTGCATGTACACCAGTGGTGGTGTAGCAGGTGCATGTACACCAGTGGTGGTGTAGCAGGTGCATGTACACCAGTGGTGGTGTAGCAGGTGCATGTACACCAGTGGTGGTGTAGCAGGTGCATGTACACCAGTGGTGGTGTAGCAGGTGCATGTACACCAGTGGTGGTGTAACAGGTGCATGTACACCAGTGGTGGTGTAGCAGGTGCATGTACACTAGTGGTGCTGCATCAGGTGCATACACACCAGTGGTGGTGTATCAGGTGCATGTACACCAGTGGTGCTGCATCAGGTGCACGTACATCAGTGGTGCTGCATCAGATGCATGTACACCAGTGGTGCTGCATCAGGTGCATGTACACCAGTGGTGCTGCATCAGGTGTACGTACATCAGTGGTGCTGCATCAGATGCATGTACACCAGTGGTGCTGCATCAGGTGCATGTACACCAGTGGTGCTGCATCAGGTGCACGTACATCAGTGGTGCTGCATCAGATGCATGTACATCAGTGGTGCTGCATCAGATGCATGTACACCAGTGGTGCTGCATCAGGTGCATACACACCAATGATGCTGTAGAAGGTGCATGTACACCAATGGTGCTGTATCAGGTGCACACAGCAATGGTGCTGTATCAGGTGCATACACACCAATGGTGCTGTATCAGGTGCATGTACACCAATGGTGCTGTATCAGGTGCACACAGCAATGGTGCTGTATCAGGTGCATACACACCAATGGTGCTATATCAGGTGCATACACACCAATGGTGCTGTATCAGGTGCATGTACACCAATGGTGCTATATCAGGTGCATACACACCAATGGTGCTATATCAGGTGCATGTACACCAGTGGTGCAGCATCAGGTGCATGTACACCAGTGGTGCAGCATCAGGTGCATGTACACCAGTGGTGCAGCATCAGGTGCATGTACACCAGTGGTGCAGCATCAGGTGCATGTACACCAGTGGTGCTGTATCAGATGCATGTACACCAGTGGTGCTGTATCAGATGTATATTCATCAATGGTGCTATGAAACATACATGTACACCAGCAAGGCCATGAGAGTACAGTATGTACTGTATACAGAATGTCTTGTCAAGATACAAATTCATTTTAAAGGGTAAAATTGCTATTTGTCAGTCACCTGCTAGAGGGGAGGGGAATTATCAAGGGGAAAGTGTCAAGCCATTACAACAATTTAGAACCTGGAAGAAGTCAGGATAAGGATTTGGAATGGGACGGACGATGGGAAGGAATGGTGCCCAACCACTTTGGTGGTCGGGGATTGAATGCCAACCTGCATACCTAGGTATACCTACACCTAGAGGTATAGGTATACAGTATAGGTATAGGTATACAGTATAGGTATAGGTATACAGTATAGGTATAGGTATACAGTATAGGTATAGGTATACAGTACAGGTATAGGTATACAGTATAGGTATAGGTATACAGTATAGGTATAGGTATACAGTACAGGTATAGGTATCAGTACTGTACCTATCAGTACTAAATGTACCAATCAGTAATTACAGGAGTGTGAGGTCTAGTCCTTTATGTTCTGCTTATTAGCCTTGTTGTACCCACTGCATTATAATTGAACTATTCTGACATTTAAATTCTTTGTCTAATCTGGTGGTGCCACTGGGAAGACATTTTAATTGTGGCCATCTGATGGAGGCAGGCACAGACTGGTTCTAAATGACAGTTTGGAAAGGCTTGACGATCTGCAAGAATATTACAATCTGTATTTTCTAAGCATCTGGATTAAAGTAAAATATCAAAGCTAACTTCTATTTTAAAGTTCTTCAACCTAAGTCAAGAAAAGCATGACAGGTTCACTACATATAAGAATTGCATTTAAAGACTAAATTGTGTTTCCTTTATAAACTATATATTTTTATTTCCAGTTATACTATACATATTTTCAAAACATATATATTTATTCCATTAAAAAAGTGGCTAAAGATGGACAACTTTACCCTAATCATTAGGCAATTAAAAGTAGTCAATCAATTTTGCAAATTTGTAACTGCTTTTCATTACTATAATACATTGGGTAAATAATGAAAATATATGATATTTACAAATTATTTTTTGTGATAATGACTTTTCTATTTATAGTCATGCTGGCCAAATACTTTCCCCTGATAATTACCTTGTGAATATGACCAATTCTGACAGTGTGGAACGTCCGTGTGATCCATTATACAGTACAAATAAAATCTGTGTATAAAGTTTGTATTCCTTTTGTTACCCATTGTATTAACACAACAAAAATTGTTATGGTTATTCAGTGTCACTAGAATGTAATTACAGAACAGCATATTAATACTGCATTTACATTGTATATTATAAAATAATGTATGATTATAGCTATGTGGTATTGTACTGTGTTTATAAAATTTCTGTACAGTGTCAAGGTGTGATATTGTACCTCTAATATGAGTATGAAGTTCAATAATGTAGCTGAGGATACGATAACCAAACCACACATCAGAAGATGGAGAGATGATGATGCTTCAGTCCATCCTGGACCATTATCAAGTCGTATGTGATAATATCAGGTCTGTCCTGATAATGGTCCAAGACAGACCGAAACGTTGTTGTTCCTGCATCTCCTGATGCGTGGTTTGTTCATCATGTAGTTCAGGCTCTAAAATGTGTACAAAGAGTTCTCACGTATCTACAGAATAAGCTACTGGCTATGTCCTAATGGATCTTACACAGTGCTCCAAGATAAATGCTTGGAGCACTCTTATTATAACACAACACCCAATGCAGGTTGTTGTGAATATTTTTTATACAAATTTTATATATACAGTACTGTATATATATATATACAGGGTATATATATATATATATTTTTTACAAGAGTTCTTACATTCTTGTACATACTGTAATGATTATAATAATGCATATAATTTTATTGTGTAATCCTCGTGAGCTAAATTGGCCCAGGCAAGGCAGGATAACTGGGCACTCCTATAATTATTTATAATAAATTTAAGTTATACTTGCATGTATTTCTGTCCTGTTTGACATACTGTATTCCTTTACAAATAGGCTATTGAATTTGTTATGAATGTGTGGATATTTAATAAAAAATCTAAGTTTTACCAAACAATTAATTAATTGAAGTGTTTTAGATTCCACACAAACTTCATAAAAGTTCATTATGCAATGGCAATTAAAGGAAGTTTTAAGCTATATAGGACAAATCACATAGGATTTAAACATGTCAATTTAAAAGGTATTTATCTGGTACAATACAATACCATAACCAATTGGGAGTTTTATCTACAGTATTTAAAAATAGGATTACAGTGAATTATGTATTACAGGGACAGATTAGCTACGACAGCACCCACAGTACTCTAAATCAAAAAGTCTCAGATTTTCAACATACCAAGTCCATAACTTTTCATTGGTTAGGCTTCATCAAATCATCTCAAGATAAGGCTTAAGTTTGATAAACTCGCATGTTCCTTTATTACCTGAAAAATAGCAACTTACTTTAATCCAGTATTAAAAACCTTTTCTGGTTAAGTGTTTTGCAAAGGAGATCCTTAGCCTCATACAGGCCACCACCTGTAAGGCATTTTATTTTATTTTATTTTGCATGATGTGTGAACATTATTTTTTATTCTTTTTAATTAGTTTCACAGTGAGGCCTTCATGACTTATAATGCCCGGTAGTACAATTGGGTATGCTCTCAACTCATAATTGGAAATCCCTGATTCGAATCCCAGATGGGACAGAAATGGCTGTGCATGTTACCTTTTAACTAATTCCTCTGTTCACCTAGCAGGCGTTCATCAACAGGTGTGGGGTTATAGCCTGGGGAAGGTCAGTAATTCGACCTTGGGGGAGATCTCGATTTAAAACTAATGTATCTATATACACAAGCTGCCTGTCCCTGACAAAATAAAATATAATACAGTATAATCATTTATTTTTGGTGGTAGGAGGGAGAATGAGAAGTGAACACAATAATAATATTTGGTTTGTTTAATTAGGTTAAGTAGCGACAACTGTGTATACCATAAAAATATTTCAATGGCTACCTAGTTGTGCTTGAGCAGGAACTGTTGCAGCTATAGGGTTCTGCCTGAACCTTTAAACACCTGGTGCACATGTTATGAAGTCTTCTTGGCTCTTATCTACACTGAAAGATGCATATACAGTACTGTAGATTCTTATATCACAGAAGCTGTGATACCAACATATTTTGTTCCAACCAGTCCTAACACTTAAAATAAAAAGTACAGTACTGTACTGTAGTTTTAGTGAAAATTCAGGTGACTAAATTTTACAATTTTATTGCAATATGGTAATGAGCATAGATTTTAAAATACTGTATGACTATATCCAAAACATTATATAAATGATGTTTAATGACGATATGACCCATGTGTAAAATTCCTAAGTACAAAGTGACCTTAAATTTCAATGTTCAACATCCTCCCAGCGAGCATAAGAAATATTGCCGAAACAACCATGGACATCTTCAAGAGAAAACTAGATCATTTTCTCCAAGGAATGCCGGACCAACCAGGCTGTGGTGGATATGTGGGCCTGCGGGCTGCTCCAAGCAACAGCCTGGTGGACCAAACTCTCACAAGTCAAGCCTGGCCTCGGGCCGGGCTTGGGGAGTAGAACAACTCCCAGAACCCCATCAACCAGGTATCAAGCAGGTTAACCTGTATATACCCAGAGGGTCACTATCTCTAGTAGTTCAACCGGGGCAAGAATCCGTGGGATGGGTTATTCCAAGGTTTCATTACTGTATGGATGAAAAAATCACCAATTGACCTGTATTGTGGCTTGTCGAGCTTGAAAGTAATGCCCCGTTGTGAGGCTATGGTTTTGCCCGAAACACTTTGCGTAATAGTGGCTTCATAAGTACGTGCAACTCCTGTCCCTACAATGGCACATTACTCTCATGTTCTTTGTACACACACACACATTCTTTGGAATAAACATGGATTGATTTACCCTGGCGTGTAGTGGATGGTGTTTGGCTTGTGGTGGAGTTAGCCCCAAGGCCCTCAACCTATCGTGGTACGCTTGTAACGTAACCTCAGCGTTTCCTTACCACAAATAGCTTTGATTTTTAACTTAATAATGCCAATATAACCCTCAGGACCTTCCTGGATGCCACTGCAAGGAAGAGCAGACCCCACAAGGCATTCAGCCCCAACGCCAAACATGTCAATAACTTGGCAATTTGGAAAAAAAACATCTACAACTCAATTCAAATAACGCAGTGTATATAATACGAGATAAAGACAATAATTTTGTTAGTGTAATAACCTGAAATTAGACGAAGGAGAGCTTGAAGTGACCTTCAGAGGGTGGACGGTAGCGGCCTGGGCCGTCGAGCAGTCCGCCACCTGATGCTCTCTTGATCTCCATCTCACAGAAAACGTTACACTAACATCAAACAATAACCATGCTAATAATAGTAATAATAATAATGATGCCCATTGAAGTTTCTAATAATTTTTTAAATAACTTGAGAATCCTTACTTGCAAGTTGGAAATCAGGACTCTTTAAAAAACATCAATAAATAATGTCCCATTATATCTTTGTCAAAACCACACGACTCTTTAAACAATTAGTTTTTTTTAATTAACAAGCTCAGGAATACACAGCAATATGCTGCTACCCTATTCTATATGAAAGATTGCACAGAGTACATCAAAAACTAGCTATAAGTTCATCTAATATTCCCATCTCACAGGATGGCTAGTCATATATGGAGTTAGGGAGCAAATACCAGCTAGCCTCAGTACAAAAACAAATCAACTCTAACTAAAAATCAGGAGAGAGCATAAAATGTAATTTTCTTTATTATGCACCCCATACCCATCCCGTGGGCGGCGGTGTAAAGGATTACAGAGGCACATAATCGGTTCAGGAACTGAAAGGCATATTAGTATCCACTAGCAAAATCTGGGTAGAGGCACAAGAATATATTCCAATATTTCTGAGTGTATGAAGTATTTACTGAGCTCAAAGTACCTCATACCATTTGCTCTGAAGTCACTTATAGCAGAGCGATCACAGATATAGTGTTGGAGAGTATGTCCCAGCTCTTGTTCACATAGTTACAATTGGAATGTTCACCATTGGGGGGATTCATTACCTGCAGCCAACTGCCATAGATATCGATATCCTAACCTAATGCTGACAATTACAATGTCACACTGTCTAGTGAATGTTTTATGCTGTCCGTACATATAATTCTCGGTTCTAAACATGTCATAGCTCTTTATACTCGCGCTTTCTGGCCTTTGTGTCAGTAACTGCTCTTCTGTCTTCCCTAATTTCCTGAAATTTGTAGCTTTTCCAGCAGAGATTGGAATTTGGAATACCTATATCCAACTCAATTTCAGGTTTATCACATTCAGTTTTAGCTGACTTGTCTGTGTCATCATGCTGAACAACTATGTGAGTTGGTATCCATAAACAATTAGGTCTGGCAGTATCCTCATAATTCACCCATATAAATTACGTATGCATATATATAATATGTATCGTGTTACATATAAATCTGACATTTAAAAGGTCACCATAAAACGAACATCAGACGAAAGGGAAAAAAACACGGAATATGAGCTCCTCAACCCGCCACTTTACGGTCAGTCGACTGGCTCTGCATTCTTCATATACTGAAGAATATTAGCATACATATTACATACTAATATACTCGTAGTATGAATTCCTATGTAATCAACCATCACATTGTGTTCTTTTCCTAGCTTGTTGCGCTTCTAATGATCACTCCCACTGTCGTACAACCACATTTGGGAAGTCTACTCCCGCCTGTGTCCCCTCGTTCTTAAACTGAGGGAAGAGGAACTATCGAGCGAAAGTGCCAAGCCAGTACGACTATACGGCACTGGGAAGGGATCAGGATAAGGATTTGGGATGGGAATGGGAGGGGAGGAATGGTGCTATAAGCACTTTGGCAGTCGGGGGATTGAACACCAACCTGCATGAAGTGAGACTGTCGTTCTACCGTCCAGCCCTAGTGATAAAGATCAACTGAGGGAATAGATGCAAGCAATTGTCCTTTTCTGGTAAGAAACCCTAATCAAACTGCCCAATTGGTAAGCTACGAAAAAAAGATGCTAAAATTGATTTATAAAAAAATAACAGATTTCACAAGGATGTTAAAAAGTAAAAGACGAATAATATAAAAAAGTAGTGCGTATAGAGAGACAGTTTCAGCTTGCTCCAGGTTACCTGAGGCAGCAATATATGTTGTTATAGATTAAGCTACCCGGAACAAGTTCCAAGTAGCACGGGCTATGGTGAGCCCGTAACTTACCTGGCACAAGAGCGGGGCAAGTAGCACGGGCTATGGTGAGCCAGTAGTGGACTTACCTGGCACAGGAGCAGAGTTTTTTGAGGCAGCAACTGTGTATTTAACTGATATACCTGAGAGCCACTAACCCTAGTGACCTTGAAAACGTTTCAAGGCCTTGCCAATATTTTCGAACCCAGAAAGATATGGTAAACATTACACTTTTTTGGGTGCGAATTTTCTCACTGCAAATATTATTATAATATGTCCGTAGCAAAGCGCGCCGTACATATTATAATAATATATGTTCGTCTCACTGTTCATCGCGTGTTAATTTCTTCGTGATTTACACACTCACACACACATTAGTATATATATATATATATATATATATATATATATATATATATATATATATATATATATATATATATATATATATATATATATATATATATATATATACACACACACACACACACTCACAAAAGAAACGAGTGCGCACACTCTCCGCGCACCTCCTCTCCCTCTCCCATCATAATTCAAATGTCAAAACTCCTCCAGTAAGTGGCGCACTTGAGAGGTCACGCCGCCAGAAAATGCAGTAGCTGCCCGCAGCCCACTGGCGCGTCCATTACGTCAACCATTTGCATAGTAACGACCCTTATGCGACGAGGGAAGGTCGTACGGCCCCAGTCCGTCCCTCTGGGAGCAAAGGAACATGCCAACGGAACTCAGACTTAATCGAAAATTATTATATTTCCTTAAATTACATAAAATATTAGATTTTAATCAAGCCGATGTATATGATTGTGATTCTCTATTTTAAATTAACTCTTCATACAATTGTTTTCCAGTCACGTAGGCAAAGATACTGGAACAAATATGGTGATTTATCAAACAAGATGGGACAAGGGTCGGCGGCCGGGGTGCTGGCGGTTGTGGGGGGGGGGGTTGGTGGCGGTGGGTGATGGCAGTTAGATGTGATCATGATGGACGCTCTACTCTCTTTATGGAGCAAAATTTCATGGGTTTGCTCCAATGGTTTCCGCCAGAGGGGCTCCTCGCGTTGTTTACCACGTTGGGGAGGATGGTGACTTGTGTTGGGGAGGATGGTGACTTGTGTTGGGGAGGACGGTGACGTGTTGGGGAGGATGGTGACTTGTGTTGGGGAGGATGGTGACTTGTGTTGGGGAGGACGGTGACTTGTGTTGGGGAGGATGGTGACTTGTGTTGGGGAGGATGGTGACTTGTGTTGGGGAGGATGGTGACTTGTGTTGGGGAGGATGGTGACTTGTGTTGGGGAGGATGGTGACTTGTGTTGGGGAGGATGGTGACTTGTGTTGGGGAGGATGGTGACTTGTGTTGGGGAGGACGGTGACTTGTGTTGGGGAGGATGGTGACTTGTGTTGGGGAGGACGGTGACTTGTGTTGGGGAGGATGGTGACTTGTGTTGGGGAGGATGGTGACTTGTGTTGGGGAGGACGGTGACTTGTGTTGGGGAGGATGGTGACTTGTGTTGGGGAGGATGGTGACTTGTGTTGGGGAGGATGGTGACTTGTGTTGGGGAGGATGGTGACAATAGTAAGTAATTATGAGGAGAAAGCACCAAGCCAGCACGACTATATAGCATTTGCAAGGGATATGGGGAACAAGAATTTAGGATACGACGGAGGAAAGGAATAGTACCCAACCACTTGGACAGTCGGGAATTAAACTCCGACCAGCAAGAAGCGAGATCGTCACTCTACCGTCCAGTCCAAGTAATTGGACATGGTTGTCTTGGAGACGATTCTTGTGTTACTAAGAGCTTGGTGATCCACGAAACAACACAACTACATATTTAAAAGGTTGTATTTAAACTACGTTCAGGCGATGAGTCACAATAACGTGGCTGAAGTATGTTGACCAGACCACACACTAGAAGGTGAAGGGACGACGACGTTTCGGTCCTTCCTGGACCATTCTCAAGTCGATTCGTCGTCCCTTCGACGAATCGTCGTCGTCCCTTCACCTTCTAGTATGTGGTCTGGTCAACTACATTCATTTTACCTCTCCGACAATATCACATCAATGTCAATTATGGTTTAGCTTTCAATATGAGGCTTCCGAGAAAACCTCATCAAACACATTATAGATTTAGGTTATTTGAGTCTCTCAGAATTTTTGAAACAAATTTTCCCCTGTAAATATTAAGAAAGTTTCATAGGATATACATCCAGAAACATTTGACAGACATTTTTTCCCTTTTAGTGAATATGTACATATTAAATTTTAAGTCATTTAATGGGTATGTAACTATTAAATTAAATGTAATTTAGTATGTAAATATTAAATTAATGTAATTCGCAACAAAGAATAGTGTGCGTTATATATATAATTTAATTGACCACTCTAATACACTGCGATATACACACCCAGAGGCATACAGGGACAGGCTGACTTGTGGGAAGAATACACAGTAACCGGGAGTCATACACTCAGTGACTGGTGTGTGTGTATGTGTGTATATACTTGACCTGTCAATAACTCCAAACTTTACACTGTGACCAGGAGCTATGTACACTCAGTGACTGGAGGAGACTGTACCAGGAGGCAGCGGGTGACAGATGTACAGACAGACAGACAGGCAGGGGGAAAAGGGGCCCACTTGATATGCGTCACCCAAGACACCGGGGCGGACAAATCAATGAGCCTTTGTGACCACGCTGGTCCGTGTTTATCCCGGACCAGGGCGCATTTTTAGGCACTTTTCTACCACGTGACGAGATCGTTTACTGGGGCGGGGGGGGGGGGTGTTCCTGGGCTGACTGGGGAGGGGGCAGAGAAGGGAAAAAAGGGGGAGGGAACGAAGTGCAGAGGGAGGGAGGGGGAAGAGAAGAAGGGAAGGAAAAAGGGAGAGGAAAGAAAAGAAGCGGAAAAGGATACGAAGAGAAGGGAAGAGGAGAGTGGGTGGTGATTGAGGGAGTGGATGGTGAGGGGGGGAGTGTCCTGTTTCAGTTCTATGAGGTGGGCAAAGTGACGTTTTGTTCTAGATCGTTAATAAAGAGGCTCGAGGGAGTGGTCGTACAGATACGAAGAGGTACAGTGGCCTGGTACACTCATTA